TTCCCTACTCTTGGCTGAATGCTCTCACCCCGCTCCCTTCGCCAAGCTCTCTGGTGCTCAGCTGACCCTCTGCTGAGCCAAGTCAGTTTGCTAACCTAGCAGAGCCCTGCCAAAACCATTTTATGCCAGGTTACCAAGTACTCTGCTTGACCACATCTTTCAAATTCAGCACGTCTGTTCCATCAGCCCTGCCTGCCTCATCTAACAACTCCCAAGTCTGCAACAGGGAATCCCGCAGCTGCTTCGGCAGCAGTTGCCTGGCTGCTCCGTTGTTGGCAGTGCCAATCTAAGCAGTCCCACCCTTTGGCTCACGCCGTATGCCACCACTTTGCAGAGCTGACACAACTGTGCAGCCACAGAGCAACCAGGATCAAGGGACGGATTCAGCAGAAGGCGCAGATGCACCCAACAGCCACGCTGCTGGCAGGGGCACTGTTCGCCGGCAGGATGGAGCAGCCTGGAGTGCAAGCAGGTTTAATCCAGCTGAAGGTGGCAGTGCTGAACGTGAAACCACAGCTCACAGTTCTTCTCTTGCTTCAGACCCTGAAGACCTTCAGCCCAGCTGCTGGGTCTGAAGATGCGGGGAATTCACTAAACCTCCCTTGTGGACATTGTTCCTCCTGATCCTGAGCCAAGGCACCAAAAAGGAGTACTCTGGACAAGTCCTTTAAATCCTACAGTTTCTCTGCCCCATAGGATGACTTGTGGCACTACCCCATCTTCTTCACATTCAAACATCCCCTGAAGACCACACTCTCGTGGGTAATGCACCCCACAGTCTCTGAACCAGATCAACTCCATGCGTCTTTGTTCCTGTTCCAAGCTTGTGTGGCTTTCTCTGTTCTGCCTGCCTCCCACCAGAAACTCTTCAAAAGAAGGTCTCAACCTTTATTTTTGCTTCATCTGACATGTTAAGCAAGCACAGTGCTAAGCACATGCAGTTACTAATGATGCTTGAGCATCCTGGGGGCTGTGAAACAATGACGGCTTTTGACAATTAGCCAAAGCAGTGAACAACATTACAAGGCTGTATTTGTTTCTGAGAAGCACGCAGTAGAGGCCAGGGCTTAGCCCCTGGGGGAGGTCCAGAGGGGAGAGACAGATTTGCCCCACAGATGCTATCTCTAGATTGCCTCCTTCTCCCTCACACCGAGCTCAATTTCCCCCTGTATTGACAAAACCTCTCAATTACAGCTAACTCAGGTAGAAGACTCAAAAGAACCAGAGATACTTTTACAGGCTATGTCATCAATACAGCAAAAAGCTTGAAGTGCTTATTGGCAGGAAACTGGAAATAGCTATGTTATGTTAACTACACTTCTGATCTGAAGCTGTGTTATTCTTTATTACGGTCTGTAACACTGTCCTCTTTCAGAAAAGCAGGTAGAGGAGCCTATGCAGTGCTTTTGAAAGATATCCTGGAAGTTAATTGGCATAACAGAGATATAGGTTATTCCTCTCTCTCTTCTGCAGCAGCCGGAACAAAAGGCAGAGCTGGCTGTTGCAACAGATCTGGCCTTGGGCAGAAGTCCAGGCAAACATACAGTTTCTAGAAATCAGGATCCCATGTAAATCTCTGCAGTTTATTACTCCCAACTCAATACCTTCTGCTGCTCTCAGCTGGCAATAATGCATGGGGACCTTTAAGTAACTGGTTTCCAAACCATTTAAAACTTTATCGATTGAAACTAAATACTTGAAAAATCCACCCAGAGGCTTTAGTCTAAGTGTAATTCTACCACAAAAGCATCTCTATGTTCACGTGATACTTCACGATCCAAAGATTTTTGGTGTGTACACAGTTAAAGAAGTCACATACACACTGAAGAATTACTTTGCCTTTCTGCTTTGATGTAACACCAAGGACTGCACAGTCCTGTTTCCACTTGAACAGCAACAACACTGAGAAGCTTTAAAATGGAGACAGACCTCCCTTTCCAACATAAAGCAAAAGAGTCACCCATAATAGAAGTTTGTACCTGTCTTTCAATAAACGCATTCATCCTCTGAAGCATTCCTTCACATGTAAATTCATACGGCAAATAGGGGTCAATCTGTGGAAACAGTGTGTTAAGGTTAGAAGGTTTTTTAAGTGAACTTTGTGGTGTACTGTGTCATAGCAGCTTGCATTCCAAATACTATATTATAGCTTAACTACCAACAATAAATGCAAATAAACTCATTAACAAATCACAGCCTCAGAAAACCATCAGCAGTTCAAGCTGATTTTTGCTGCTTTGGAATGGCAATAAAAGTTGCTCAGTGATTATCTTTAAGGAAACTCAGGGTATACTGCAAAGTAATAGATATAAAGCTAGCCTGAGACCCTATGGGATTCCAGAGCTCCTGTTTTAACTAAGTTTCAGTTCTGGAGCTGAAGTGAAAAAGAAAACATTACGACAAAAAAAGGAATGTGATGCCTTTGAAAATTACTTCAAACCTCTTTTTTCCCCCCTTGAAGTGCCCTCATTACAATTCCAGGCTGTAAGTGCACGAGCACTTCAGTGGCGGTTATGTCAAGGCTACAAAATCAGTCAAAGGAGTTGAGCGTGTATTTGGACAGCTTGCAATGCTCTAAGAATCAACAAGGAAACTTCCTCACCAAATGCACAGAAAATACACACTGCTGTATAATTTACATATGAAATTCACATTTCTATACAAATTCACACACGTTCATTTTTTTTCAGGTAAAAACCTGACATATCCAGTACTAAAATATGATAATCAGATACCACAGAGATGTAATAATGATTTTTTTTCCCAATATCCTACCAAAGTATGGCACTTTGCTTTAATTAGACTAACATTAGGGAGCACTCTACCTGTAGTACACAATACACCCTCAAGCACCAATGACAAATTGAGAGTACATTTCTCACCTTTTGATTCAAAATTGATTTCACAGCCTTCTCAACTTCAGAAAGATCATTGATGTCTACAGTCCAGACATGGGGCTTCCCAATGTAAACTTCAGCATAGGGATGCTGAGATGTCAACTGAAAAGAAGAAATTACATTGGTCAAAAATTAATGTGTGAAGATATCCTTCCCTCTCGCTCTCTTCATCAGACTTTTTGGATGAAATGCACTAGGGTAACGCAAAAATTCAGCTAGAATCTAACAGTCAGCATCATTCCTTCTGAGTTATCTTTCAGATTTTCCGTGTCTAAATTTAGAGAGCGACTTCAGCTGGAAAACTGAAAATCAGATAATAATGCAGATCACAAGTAACGTTTGTGCACCTCTCATTTGGGCCTTTGATCCCCATAATGACCTACGTCACAGAAGACTTGCTGCTTACTGAAACTACTTTTACAACGTGACCCTGCTTCCCCACAGCTCATTCACAGAGCAGCTCTTGAGTTTTCACAACCTGTAATTGCTACCAGTCCTGGTTAGACCTGCGTGACTGCCTTCAAGAGATGTCATCTTCGCCCCGTCTCTCCTTCAGACAACATCCTCGCCCTGTCTCTCCTCCAGACAACATCCTTGCCCTGTCTCTCCTTCAAATTTCCAACATTTCCAAGCTTCTGTGAGTAGTAGTGAATAAAGAATCACTTCTATCACTTAGCTGAATTCTGGCTCTCGCTGCTGATGTAAGTACAAGAGTGATGTGACCTCGTTAAGAGTGTTAACTGGTATTTTGCTCACCACTTTGCCAGAAAACAAATTCAATAAATACCCAAGTAGATAACTAAGAAAAGTTATAACAGAGATTACTTTCAGAACTAGCAGGGCGGCACTAAAAGTAATTTTTGTGACAGGTTGCACAGGAGTGAGAGGAACGTGCACATGAACACACACAGAGGACGCAAAAGCTGCAGAAGAGAGAGGAGTGTTTCACAATGGTCCCAGAAGAAAACTGCTTTTTAAATAAATACAAAAAGCCCTACAGGATAGATTATTCACAGACAATTTTTATATAGCTGCCTCTTTAGGCACGACAAAAGAAAAATCTAATCAGTGCAAAAGATCTGCAGTAGGAAACGGTATCTGTTGGAAAGAACTTCTGCCTGCACTGGGCACATACCGTACTTGCTTTCTTCCTCAGGTGGATGCAAGAAACTACTTAAAAACAATTTTGCCCATTGCATTTTCCTTGTGGACAAGAGAAGCCAGTCCTGTAGTTACCCATGGGATCAGCTAGCATAAATCTGTGCTCTGAGACCAGTGCTCCAGGGGATTCGGTGCAGGCTCCCACCTCTGGTTGCAGGGCAGCGTGGTGGCGAGGGCTCGCGGATGGGCAGGCTGCAGCTCCTGGGCTGCTGCCCCAGGATGCTTCTACACGCCCAGAGCTTCTGTAGCTGCCTACCTTCACTCGCAGCCCACTGCACTGTGCTCCCATTGGCATATTTTAAATTCCTCCAAGAAGTCCAGTCCTTCTGGAAGACTGATATATTCTAAACCTTTTTTCAGTAGTATTTCTACTGCCACTAAAAATATATGTACTTAAAAATTTGGGTTACCAAGACTGAGTTCCCAGGGCACTTATGTCTGGACTTTAGATGGCAGAAGCTACATTCCTATTGCTTTCAGTAACAAGAAAAAACTTTCTACTGCACTTTTAAAAACATGAACATAAAAGAGTGTTTTAAATTCCACAAAGCTTTAGGAATTATGCCTTATACCGCTCTTTCTCTACCACCTCAGACAGACAGATGGCAACATCAAAGCCAGATCTGATCTGGAAGACAAACAACTCAACTTCTCAGACTAGTAGCTGTTTTAAGTATTAAGAGTAACTAGCAACATATTTTTATTGCGACAGTTATTCTACATCTACGGTCTCAAACAATATTAAGACTATTTCCTAATACAGAAATGCTTTAATTAGCCGAGGCTTAATAATGTTTAAGATATTCAGGAGATACTCCTTCTGTCTATAATTAAAATCTATAAGAATTCTTATAAATAGATTTGGAATTAATTTCTATTTTCAGGTCTTCTTTTTCTCCTTCCTAAAAGCAGAGAATTAAAGAAACTACACCCACCATGTACACATTTCAACAAGATTTAGCACACAATGTTTTCTTTCTTTGGGGGTGAGTGGGGGGCTGGAACAGAGAAGACATATTGGTACAAATACTGGTACAAAACAAGCTGCTTGAAGGTGATTTTTTTATTTTTCCCTGGCTCTTTCCCCCAGCAAGATCATGTCATTTCCAGTTTTTGTAGAAAGTCCTCACTACAGGACCCCATCCTGGGGGTAGGGGCGAAAGAGTTAACTCCCGCCCCCAATAAATTCTACCCAGAACAGGAGAGAAGAAGTGACTTGCAGCGGTTACTTTACAAAAGTACTAAACACAAACTTTATATTCAGATTGGTCTATGGATAATCAATTTGCAGAACTACACAAGCTTTTTTTGTTCCCCTTTAACACTTGAAAAAACTCAGAGAAGGATTTAAGGACTTTCTTAATCCCAAAGAACCAGCACATGGATTACTGGCAATCGGATCTAAATGCAGTTGTGAAAACCAGTTAGAGAAAAGGTTACTCTTCACATAGGTCAGCAGAGCATGTGAACGCAGCAATATTCGCGATGAATTTTTGTTATATTATTTTGTACTAAAGCAGTCAATAGGGATTATTTTTCTGTGCAATTCTGTGCATTTCTGTTAGTGCTGACACATGCCGGCGGGATTTAGCACAACGTACCAAGCACTAAATTTCCTACTAAAGCGTTAAGTGGGTCCAGATTATTTACTAAGCCTGACCAGTTACAGTGTCTGGGCACAGAACAAGTGGAAATGAGACAAACAGTCGAGCGACCCACAGGAGGAAAGCTTTGAAAGGTGCCAAGCTCAAGGAGAAAGCTTAAACAGACTTTTTTCCCCTTACTGCTCTCTTCTTTGTTAGCAATGCAAACTGTGAGAAGGGGCGAGTTTGAACTCGTGTCCTGTACAAGCTGAATGTACAACAAGCTGAAAAGCAATTACAGTCCAAGATCATAAAGTCACAAGGAATTTATGTTCCTGGTTTAAAATGGGAAACTGTCTCTTGCTTATCAACTAGCTGGCACTGCTCAGTACACAATTTATATAGCCCAAGCGTAACTTGAATTGGGAAATAGGGCTGTGCAAAGTTCTCATCATCGAAGTGTCACCAGGGAGCTTTCCCTTCAGATAAGTAAGTAAAGAAAATATGTATGCACACCTATGCACAAGCCATGGTCAGAGGCAAAAGTGCTAATGTCAGAAATGGCTACATGTCTGTTAAATGCTTGCAAGCGGTACAGGCTGGATTTTACGTACACTGAAGGAGAAAAATATTCCAAAGTCAGTGCCAGGATAAGGGGCTAGTTTACTTAGCCTCATTTTTCTCTTAGTAGAGTCTAAACACACTGGCTGTTTTGAAAGCTTGAGGTTTGGTTTTCCTGTTCTCCTAAAGGGTCAGCTCTCCAAATGTCTTCAGTGTTTAACCACAAACACGGTGGGCTGTGACCATTAATGCCTTAGCTCAACAGTGCCTTGAGCAGATCATTTCTAGAGAAAAATAAATATCCCCAAACCCAAAAATGGCTTTTTTATAATTTACTTAAACACCTATTTACTTCCTGCATAGCACACAGTAATGCTTGTTTCTCCAACAAAATAAAACTGCTTTCAAACGACACGTCATGTATCAGATGACAGGATCTGTTCCTGGGCAGGACATCAGGTTTTCAAGTGAAACTTCACTTTGTAATCTATCCATAAGAATTAGCAAAATGTACATATAGGCAAATCTAGAGATAAAGCTTAACAGTACATTAATGAAAAATTTTGATTATAGTATAAAAATAAGGACTGATAATCCCATCAATGGCTAAAGAAAATGACAGCTGCACACCTTTTGCAATGAACTGTGAACATTTATGGATTTTTTCCTATATTGCATTACTAAAAAGAAATCCACAGTCCTTTTCAATAAAGAAATTACAGAGTGATAACACTTACCTCTCGGAGTGTAGGTTTGCCTTTGAAAAATTCTGTATTTTTGCTACTTTTTGGTGGGTTAAATCTTAAATTTAGAAACGCACATCCATTAGCAATAGCCTCTAAAGGAGCTGGCCCTTCATATGGAAATCCAAGACCAACAAACAGCTGAAAAATAGAAAACAAGGACTATCTTAATTTTTCTTCCTTAAAAAACCTGAAGGCTAAAAGCTAACTTAAAATAAACAATAATGCATTCTAAATGTACCAGCCTAAAAAGATGTAATGTTAAGAAAATGGGAGAAATTCAGCAGCTCACCCACTCCTAAACAAGCAGTAACAGAATGTGCTGTAAAACACATTTGACAAGAATCTTCTGTAATGAGCTGAGGTGGTTTTTCATGGAGCTGAGGCAACAACGGACCCTTTCAGTTATTTTTTTTTTGGGGGAAAAAAGAAAGTCATTCGGTGGTTTGATTGGTGTTGAAATGAAACTGCTGGGGCTCTCTTGCAGGTACAGGTTTTACTGCAGCAACCTCACAGAACAGCTACTCTACTGTTTTCCCTCTCCCCCACTCCAGCTAACCTGCTGGTTTTGCCAGTACGAACACGCTGCTGGCAAACTGATTAAGTTTCCCAATTAAAACGGTAGATGGCAGCAAATATCAGCTGAAGAACCTGGACCCAGGCAGCAAGAGCTTGCACAGGATGAAGAGGGTTCAACGCCTCCAAGGTAAATTGAAGGAGGAAAAATGCATCACAAAGCTATTCTTACATCAGCCAAGATTCCAGGTGCTCTAGAAAAGGCAGTGCTTTTCTCCAATATGAAGAAATTGAATATTTTTTCAGAGGTGTCTAGCTTTTATTTGGATCTTGACACCTTTCCTGGCCCAACATAATTAAAAACCCTGAATAAATATAGGAATCTTCACCTTTATTTGAATGTCTGTCTATACTGGGAGAACTACAAGCTCTGATTTGTAACAGCAATTTCTTAGCACCACTGAATGACTTAACGTGTGTGTATATATATAGCTACTGCTTTTTTCAAGAAAATAAAGAGCAATCTTTGTAACGATTAGGATCATGCATTCAGGACGTACGTATTCAAAGAGGTGACATTATACTATTCTGTATTAAATTTTCTGCAACATGGAAGCAAATCCTAGTAACAGAAGGTTCAGAACTGAAGGCCCTTTGTAGGAGCTGATCCTAACACTGATGAATGGCATGAACCTGTTGTCAGTATTGTCGTGCACAGGCATTGCAGCATCAATCCTCTCCGACCCATGGCAAAACCAGTACAAATTCTGAGTTGGCTCATTTTAAAAAGAAAGTTAACACCTCTCAGCATAGTTGAGGACAGATAATTTTCCCTGCATGAAGCTGAATATTGTTATTTCAGTTTTCAATTTTCAGGTTAAAAAAGTCACCTACTTGCAAAAAGTTTCTCAGCTATCTCGCATATTTAAATCTTACAGGCAGCTCTCCAGTGGCTGACAAAAAAAAAAATCTGGCAGACTATCTCCACTATAGCTAGACTGTCTAAATTTGGGATTTTTATATGGCATAAGATACATTACCTTTCAGTCAGAAAAATACATACTAAATTTCATCTCAAAAGAGGCTTAATTTAAAGAAAGGTAATCTCTTGAAAATAACGAATTACGGACATGAAACCATTTCACGCCATCTGCACACATAATGTTATTTATTTAAACTACTCCTTAGTTCAGGCAGAAAACCAGCTGAGAGCCAGCAATTAAAACCATCTGAAGTATCAATTCTCCTATGATCCTGTGTTTGTCTGTTATGTAGAGAATGCTGGTTTGTTTGCTTCGTTTTTCACTTTTTTAATAAACTGCTGCTGTGCAGTGCTGAACAGTTCTGTCTCTGACTGGTCCGTTTATTTAGGAGGAAGCTCCATGGGGAAAGCAACATGGTTTTATGTTTTGACAGCACAGAGCACACTGTCAACACTTAATCTATAATAAATAGCTTACCACCTGTTTCGCATCCATTTTCCAACCTTACCTCTAAGCAGCACCGTACCTTTGAAGAAAGAAAGAAGGCTGTGTCTGATCGCTAGAACAGGGCGCGTGTGTGTGCCGCCTGTTGGCCTGAGGTTCCAGCCTGGCTCACAGCTGCCTGCAGCCCCCACAGCTCCTTCTTCCAACCCTCCCAAATCTTCTATCACTCTCCAACACATCAGCCTTATTCAGGTCAGCTGAAATGCCCCAACTGAATCTAGACCCCACTCCTGAAAATTGCCCTTTATTAACATTCCTTGGTTAGGGAGCTAGTATTTTTGTACGTTATAAAGAGCAAAACTGAAGACTATCTTAATTGCCTCAAGAAAGCCACATTCATTATGATCAAAAAAAGCAAGCATCAAAGAGCACAGGTCATTTCTGTAACTCATTCTTATGATGCTCCAATTTGCTAATCCTTTGAATTACATGCAGCTTGTTATTTCCAGAAAGGCTAAAACAATCTGTCAAGGTGCTTCCTAAAAGTATGTAACAAGTGCTGCAAGTGATTAATTGAAAAAAATGTGGAAAAAAAAAGAAAAAAGCAGAAATAACAGGCAACAATTTTCAGGTACCAGTGATGCAAGCATCCATCCTCAGTACAGTTGAGGCTGTGTGGAAGACAACGCTCCCTCCCACAAAATGATAAAAATTTAGAACAGACTGTATGTATTTCCACTATTCTGTGATACAGATGCCTCCATGTAAGGTTGCTGACTATGGCTTTAGGGTACCCTGACGCCGTGCCTGGTAACACAGTCCACCCTTGGCAGTTACTTTCACCCTATGGCTGAAGATCTATAGTGCAAAACTCAAAATTTGACAATGTTGGCAACCTAACTGTGGCTACACATGGTTCAAAAATGTTAGCCCTGGTCTTGCTTTGTTAGCTGCAGCAGAATTGCTGTGCAAAGTAGAATTCCTTTACACTTTACTGGTTGATTAGTGCTTGAAACCATTTCATTTTCTGCATGTGAGCATTTTTCTCACTTTCAAATGTTTTTGAAAGCCAGAATGATTGTGTTTTAGGTGCTTTAGGTGGGCACACGCCACAGTAGGCTCTGTATGCTAATGCCCCATATAACGAGATGATTGCCAGAAAGAGTTTACAGTAAAAAGTATATCTAAAGGAGATAACAGGAAATAAATACATACGTAAAATGATCATGGTGATAGCGGTGTGGGTTTTTTTAAAAGCCATTTCCTTGTTTGTAAGGTCTGCTACCCAGGTGTGTCTGTGCCTGAAGGTTTGTGTGAATCAAAAAATGGTATTCTTACCTGCAATCTCACTTGCCCCACTTGAGTAAAAGTGTTGAAACCCTGAAGCAGGAATACTTCAGGTTTCGTAAGAAAGGCTCCTCAGGAACCTTTTCTGCCTTTGCAGTGAACTGAACCCCTGGTTTGGAATTTCAGGCTTTTGAGCTGGCCACCCAGCATCCAACCAGCCCAAACACCATTCTTTTCCGATTAGAATGTAGGCAGTCCTTTCATGGTGTAGCGGCTAAGTGGAAACTTCTCTGACATGAAAAGTGCTTCACAACCGCTCCCGTGAAAAAACAGTGGGGTTTTGTTTGATGCTTTGGAAACCACTGGCTTTCAGTTGACATCAAGCAATTTATTTGTGGAGTTTATGGCACCCGATCAGCCTATTATTAAAATGAGTACCTGAACAAACAAGTCTTTCTAGATTATAGTCAAAAGTATAAAATAAGGAGTGAATGTTTTACTTCACTGACTGTAATTCTGACTAGCTGAATATTTAAGAGAAAACCTTCATATTCCGGAGACTAAATGCTATAGTTCCTTAACAGGAGTGTTTATCTTCTCGTCTCCTCTCCTCTTTCTAATATTACTGCACTTTATCTAATTTATTCTGTTGGGTTGGTAGGTTTATCACCACTTTTATATGCCTCCTTACTGAACTCAGACATTCTCTTCTGAACTACAGAAAGAGAAGCATAGCAAAGGCTGTTGTTAACAATCTCGAAACATTTTTCTTATGAATATAAAATACTTTCTGGAAAAGTCAATCCTTTTGTGATTGAAACAACTTTAGAATAGCATCACTAGTTAAATGTCTTTTCAGCTGATTTTGTGAAGCATGTGGAAGTAAAAAATACATTACTTCATAAAAGGCAATATGAAAAAAAAAAAAAAGGTTGTTTTCCTATTTCTGCTTATCCAACATTGCAATGTGTTTTTCCCCAAACTCTCTAAACAGAGTATTGCACCTACTTTTTTTGATCACCATTGAGAAACTGTAAATTCCACTTAGTAAAAGAATTTGGATCCCCTCAACAATTCACAGTGACTCGAAGTAAAAAGTTGTATGTGAAACTTTCTCGAAAGGAGGAATATTTCTCAAGGATTCAGTACTGGTTCTTCCAAGAGAGTCTGGTCCAACTCCTCCAGCTGCCCACTTGGCAAGAAGCCACGTAAGTTGGCAGGAAGGCTGCCAGCTCGCCTACCCTATTTTCCTCTGACGTGATGAATGGCTTTACATCTTCTCATTAGGAACTGTTGACATGTCTCGTTTTTGTCATGCACTACACAGCTGAACTAGCCATGATGAATCTCAAACAGCCCCCTCCTGCTTGAAAAACGCACTTATTCTGAAATGCGTTGCTTTATAATACGCACCAGAATGAAATGGCAGCTGCATGCTTTTGAGAATAACTGTGCCCTATACCAACTCGTGCAAAGAGACCAAATACATTCTGGGAATGCAAAGCTCTGATCAGGAATCATGACTGAGCCGTCACCTATTGGTATTTTGCTAGGGGCAAAATGAATCAGTGCAACATAAACTGATGCTGAACTGTGTGATTTGTTAAATTACTATTTAGCCCTGACTTTCGGAAAACTAGATCATTTGCCAGCTGACCTAACAAAAACTTGCTAACACAATGTTGAAATCACAAGCAACGAAAGACAACCCTTGCCCTTGGGTCTGAAAACATATGTTTCGAAAAAGAAAAATCTGAAAGTTTCTGGAAGCTTAAAGACAAAGTTTGTTGCTTGGAGACAGCAAACAGCAGGCCTAGATGGTTCAAGTGAGTATTGTACCCACAGATGTTACCATGCCTGCGTTATGGCTCCGATTATTCACAAGCTTTCAGCACACTGGTTGTCTAGTGACAAAACCCCATAACTAAATTCATTATGGGGCTCTGGTCACGTTGCCTAGCGATTAAAGTGATTATGATTAAAAAGTGTCCTTGAACATCACTGGATCCATGTGCACACATACGTGAGGCTCCTCAGGGCACAAAGCTCCCATTCAAGTCAGCTTGATTTCTGTGGAAAACCTGCACTTATTTTAGCAATTCAATCCATGATCCATTTGATATAAACACAACTGACCCACACACGCAGCAGATGGCCAGTAGAGACAGGTGAGCAGTGTTTTGTGCTAAGCCATGTTAAAGTATAGTCTCTTAAAAGATACCAAAATCTGAAACTGTGAACGTACAAGCAACAGGAAGACTTAGAGCAAGTATGTCTGTTGACCAACACTGAGAGGCAACCATATGCTAAGGCAGAACAGACTGTACCTATGAGACATCAGCTAGCAAAAAAACCCAACAAAACAACCCAAAAATCCACCTCCAACTGAAAAAGTCCAAACAAATTTGATGGTAAATCTCAGTTTCTACTTTCTACTTGGGATACTGCTGTTTTACTTTTTCTGTTAAACTAGATTTACTGGAACAAGTAAGTATTAGACAGGATTAATAACCAAAATTCATGATGCAGTAAGCCCTATTTCATTTAATTTTGTTGCAACATCAGAAATACATTGCAATCCTATTTGCCTGACAATAATGTCTTCGGAGAAGCAGATCGATTGTTAACTGCTTATCATCAGGTCAAAGTTTTGTTAGCCTGGCTGCATCATAAATAAATAATTTTCTTAAAAGGGAAACAGTTTTTATCATTTGCAAATCTGCTAACAAAAGTTCAGAAAAGCCATATGAAAATACTATTTGCAGACTTAAAAAAAATAGTTTCTTAAGAAAGATTGTATCAAAAAGATAATGTGATAGAAACACTGGCTTCCTGATACAGGGTTCTGAAACACATTGATGTGTTTCTCAGTGTCATCTCAAAGGATTTTCCCTAACATTAGAGAAAAAAACCCCCAAACCAATGCACAACAATAGTATAGAAAATCATTAAAGTCTAAAATGCTTGTAGGACTCTGAAAACAGATCCATGCTTTTCACAAAAATATAATTTGTGAAAAATAAGCAACTTAACTGATCTCAGGAGTACTTCACAGTCACAAGATAATATCTTCCATCTGATATTGCAATTATTAGTCAAAATCTGAGTGAAACTAGTCTGGCTACTTCCTGTGTCACAACCCCCCTATAACTGCACTGTGTTGAGCTGCATAATATGTATGTATCAACCTGAATCTGTCCTAATTTTAATGTGTCCTTACATTGCATCTTAGAGCACAGCAAATATAACCAATAACAACTGGATAAGCTATCTACCTAGTATCAAAAATCAAGCTTTTTAGTGTAACACAAGTAAGATGGCTGATAACAAATTAGAGGAAGACTTACTCAACCATAACTACCATTATGAACTGTGCCTTGTAAATTATAAGGACTTCGGTAATTCTACAGGAAGTCCATTAGCTTATTTTACTATTCCAGTGAACAGAACACTTTTTTTTTTCCCCCCCCAGAAAGAAGTCACTGTTTGTGCTTGGGGTTATTACAATGTCAATATTCTTCCCACATTAGTACTATGATTAACACAGTGATTTCATACTCCACACAGGCAAAAGCTGTGTAATCTCAGTATTATCTATGACGAAAGTAAATGTTGACTTTTTAATCTGCAACATTATGTGTATCTGTATGCATCAAGTACATACACACAGTGGTTGCCTTTAAAAAGTCATAATTTGCCAACAGCTGTCACACAGAGATGTCAAATTACCATCATTTTCCCAAATATTTCAAAAAGGAGATCTCTGCAGTCGTGTGGGAAGACTGGGAGGTGCTTGCTTTTTTCTTTTCTTTTTTTAATAGATTCTTCTGTAGAAGTGCACAGCAAGAAACTATCAACAATGGGGAGTAAGTGGTGCAGTTCCACACATTTTGCTAATTTTAAACACAGAAACCACTTCTTTCACCAACTGAAAGTTAAACATCCTATTTAAATGTCATCTACTAAAGTGTTTTAATGTTGTAAAGTGCCGCGAAGATTATGGGAATGGCACAGAAAACCACACAAAGCACTCTAACTATGGGGACAAAAGTTCATTTGTTTCAATGTATATACTGTCCCTTATCTTCAGTTCCCTTGACTATGGGGCCACAGGCAAAGCATGCCACAAAAAGCATGCTCTTTTGCTCACTCTCTCTGCACAACTGAAGCAGAGGAAGGAACTGAATGGCGAATGAAGTGCTTGCCTTTCTTCTTTTCTCCCCCAGAGAGTAGGGTCGCTCTAGGTTAAAGTCATTGGTAGGGCAGAGCAAGCATGCCTACTGTAGAGCTTTCAGATATTACCTAACTTTCACACCAGGGATGTAAATCAAAGCATGTTCTCAGCTGATAATCTCCTTGAGCTGAATATCACATTTAAGAAAATTTAAAAAAATGCATTTCTCAAGCTGGTTGTTAAATATGTCTGTGACTGTAAGTTGTTGTCCCAATTTTCTAATACTAGCTATCAATCCACAAAACATGGACATGATGAAAAAGGTATTCTTAGCACACAGGAGACAACTTAAGCTCCTTTACATTTGGCCATTTATTTTTCCAATGCTTTTAAATTAGGAGCTCATTCGTAGGAGGTGAAATGCATGCACTTCAGATACTGCCTATCTGTAGCTATTTTTGCCACTACTCCCTCCTGACAAACTTACTTTGGTTTCTCTCAGCAGAAACTGCAAATCCCGCCCGCTGAGTATACCATGGTTTTTTACGTAGCCGGGAATATAAATAGTGCTGGTCCCGTGAACAGTTCCATGGACTTCCATATACGTGTGGATGATGTCCAGATAAGCCTTCTTATCCTGTAATAGCAACAATAAAATATTTTCAGTCTTTACACATTTCAAGCAGTAGTATTCAATCAGAACTGTTTTTTATCTTCTGTACCACCAGCCAGAAAGATATTAAGTTCACTCATTCTTATATGATTTCTATACTATTTAATCTTTCATTATATTATTAGTTTTGTTTTCTACTAGACTGGAAGAAAACTGCAGCTTCTGCATTCATAGTATAGGTATAAATAAAGCAATAGCAAGGTCCTATTAATTTCTAATTGGGCAAAACCCACATCACCATCAGACAGGTGTAATGTCAGCATGCTTAAACAACACTTGGTGTAAAAATACTAAAAATCTCATTTTGAAATACCAAATTTTCACTCTGTTTTTGTCCGAGATGCAAAATAATGTTACTGTTTATCTTCTTTGTGAAGAAAAGGGTGACTCTCACCTTAGTAAGATGCACTCCTGCCAACTGAATAACTGAATACACACCTTTATCAAAATACCTAGTATCTGAGTCCCATGAGATACCTACAAATGTTTCACTTACCTAAAGTTTTAAAGGCATTTTGGAAAACCCAGAGAAGAGTAATGGCTTTAGCATTGCATTAAAAAAAAATAAAAATAGTACACCATCCTAGTTTGCAAACAAGACATACTTTAATTTTCAGTGCCATATGTTTTTTGAGTTTTAAAGACTACTAGCATTCCAAAAGAAATTAGCTGTAGACTGTATTTACAACCAGTATGCAGCACAGATCAGAGAGACTTTCCCTCAATATTTGCACATAGTCTTAGTAATAGCTGTAAAATCAGGCAACAAGTTTCTGTACTTCTTGGCAGCAAGAGAGTTTTTAAGAATTCTACTTTCACTCACTATTTTTGTCATGTAAATTCTGTACACTGTTCCTCCACAGCCCTGTGTGAAAGCTGGCCAACAATTTTACTAAAGTTCATTCAAAGGGCAAGTAGATTGGTGAAAATCCTGTATTTTCAAATCTTAGAGGAGCAATAAGGGATCAGGCCTAGGTGAATAAACACTATCACTTCATAAAACTTCCTTGCTAAATTAATTGTTGGTATACATTCAAATACATGGGGTATTTAATGCCACATAACAACTGGCTTCTAGCTTTAGCTTGCTCTACTGGCGATACTGTTTGGCAAGGCATAGATTGCCTGCTTCGTTATTAAATAGCCCTGTTCTGGTAGCTATGCCAAGGCTGCACCAGTCAGACAATGTCCTGGGCTAAGTGTTATATAAAACAGCCAACAAATGGAGACAAATGTGCTTCTTGTTCGATGTGGTTGCTGTTATTGTTAATTAACACAAATGATTTAAAAAACTAAAAGCTTGCTCCATTTTCCCTTTTACTTCAAATTTGAATTACTCTGAAAGAGATGTTCCTCCCATTATTTGTAAAGTAAAGTAGCATAATTAGAAACTGTTGAGAAGCTCATACACTGTTGAGAGGAAGTCCACTGTAGAACTTTTTCTTTAACAAATGTGCAGGAGAAATATAAATGGAGTAGCCTGGTCTTGTTCCCAGGATGTAGCAGTGGTCTGTCACTAGAGGCACACCTTAATCCTGCCCAGCTTTCAGAAGAAACAGAGCCTATGAGTTAGGCTTTAGTGTTCTGAATGGGAAGAGAAGGCAATGAAGCACAGGTACTACTGACATGACCTGCCTTCAGTAAGAACACTAACGCACGTGCCTCGGATTTTATTGGCTCCTATCACACAAACTGATGACATGAATGCACCCTAACTCAAGAAAAACATGGGAAGCAAGCAGCTAGAAAGAACAAAACCAGAATTAGCTAAAATTGCATTTACTTATTTTAACGATTTCAACAACAATTTTACAAACCTGTAACAGAATATTTGGCTGCTCTAAAATAAAATCTTTGACATTAAAATTATTTAGTCTTTACAATCTTTCTAGATAGTTCCTCAGCATCTGCTTCACTGGCTGTAGGACTGTTGAAGGTTTTATAGAGGTTCAAAAAGCAATTATAGAAGAAAAATCCATTAATTGTTATTGAACAGACACACAACTTCTAGCCCAAGAAGTCCATGAACCTATGAAACATGCCTGATTTCACATTCTTCCTTACAAAATTTTGGCTATTTTTTCAGTCAGAATACTGGACGAGATAAACCTTTGATCTGAACTGGCCTTGCTGCCATCTTACTATCTTTATTAGCTCATTTTCAAAGATGAATGTAAAATGGACCAAAAGAAACGTAACATTTTAATGTCTTCTGTTTATATGTGATGCCAATATAAACCTAGTGGGATTCTGAGAAGTTTGTTGCTTAAATTCTGCTGGAAATACTCTTTTATACATACAATGGACCTTGAATTTAGCCCAAAGTACTCCCCAGATCATCCTGTTAATAACAAAGTGAATCTTCCTACTACATCCATTTATCTATAAATCCCAGCAGTTGATGACTACAAAGCAGGGAATACAAGATTAAAAAAACCCCTGAGTATACTCAGATAGGATGAAAAAAACAGGCTTCCATGTTGTATTTACAGTAGTATTTTGGGGGGGCAGGGGGCAGAGGGCAGTTTTTTACTTAAACCCTTAAAGTTAAAAAAACATGTAACAAATACTACTGATAAATTAACTGAGAAGACATACAAATTATATTTAAAATTAATATATAACCAATCAATACAATTTAGGAAGACAAGGCAAAAGCAATGATAGTATCAGCATGTAAACATTAAACATCTCTGCAAGCACAAACAAAACATTAAGTTAACTATCCATAACCTTAACTGGGAACATTACTTAACCATATGACTGACTCCTGATTCAGAGTCTAAAACCACAGATAAAATATTTAGTATCCCAAACAGCATAAATTCCTCCATCCATAATATTTACAAAAAATAACAGACTTTTAAATGGTGTCTCTGGGTTTCCACTTCCACAAGATAAAGTAACTACGGTAAACTGTGCTAGAGTCTATAGAAATGATTCTTCCTCACAAATGAAACCTTATAGATAGACAGGCATAAGCAAAGGGATCAATACGTAAAAAAATTATGAATTACTTTTCAAACCACAAGAGTAAAAACATGAAAAAACAACAGACACAAGCTTGGAAAAATCTTTCATTCCGCAACCCTCCTTTCTTTTAATCAAATGAATTTTTTAAAGAACTACTGGAACAGAGAGCAGCATCTTCCCTTTGTTCCTTGTACATAAAACGATTGTTCTTAATTTTCCCAAAAGTCTTTCTTTCTGAAGGAAACAAAAAAAAAGCCCAACCAGAAACTCAGAAAGCACAACCCACAAAACAATCACTCTTTTATTCCCTTATTCACTTTGAGTCAAAAGCTACTGTTTTCATAATGATCTACAAATTACCATAAAAGCACCGCCAGCACCTTATACCTTACACAAATCTCACTAACGTTTGTCTCATTTTGCATTTTAGTAATCCTGAATTTCCACATTCTTTGCAGAAAAGTGTTATTTTGGATGATAAAAGTATATATTGCAACAAGCTACTTCACAAAAATAATCAGGGCATATAATTCAATTATAAACATTAAAAACATTGAATTAGAAAATGAGAGAGTGTAAATATGGCATTTATAAATAGAAAGGCTACAAGTAAATAAATGAAGAAATGTGATTTGCAAACAAAATATCAATATTCCTTCAACTGTTAATCTACTTCCTGAGTTTGCTTGCTTGGATACATGTATGAATATTCTTTTATCTTAAATCCTTTGACAGTAAACTCCAGATTTTTACTTTCTTCAAAATGAATTCAAAGAGAAAAGATCATGGGCTGCTGGCTAGTAATGCAAAATCAACATTCTCTGCAGAGTTTGGATCAGACTGTGCTATTCACTGACGTCTGCCGTCTGCACTGCAAATCTAGACTTTGATCATTGAACATAATAAAATTATTTCTCCTCAGAATCAGAATGGAAGAGTAATGGTGAGTAACAGTCATACAAACCTTTTCTGAAACAATTATTCAGCAGCTAAAATAAACATGCCATCCGGGAAAGTACTTTTGTTGATCATTGACTGCAGAACTGTTATTACTGTTCATCAATTATTTCCACCTACTTTTAAAAGATAGGCCTTTCTCATCAAACAAATCAAATGACAACTGTCTGATAAGTCTTCCCCTAAGACAATGTTGACAAGAAGACACAGTCTGAAGGGCTGAAATTTTAAGTTTGGTGGGTGAAAAATTTAAGTAGAAAACCTACAAAATATGTGGTAGAAACACAATGCATTAAGAACCAAACTCTGCTGTTAGTTTTCTTGATGTGGTAGATGGTGGTAATTAACAACTCTGTTTTACCATGAGTTTGTCAGTCCAAGGTTATCACGGTATTTTGCCATTTGAGACCATGCAGGTACCCTCACAGAACATCAGCAATTCAACACTGAGTGAAACTAAGCAGCACATATGCAGAACTACAGGCCAACAACATTACAGAAGAGCTTGATTCAGAATCCTAAACTGGTTTATGGGTTGAAAGTTCAAATGGCAAAATGTATGTAAACCAGCTCATATACCCAGTCTCACTTTCTTACATTGAAAAAGTCAGAACAGAATGATTTTATAAAGCTTGGACAAATGTAACACAGAAAAATAGGTACTGGGAGAGATCTTGTGTATGTTGTAAATGCATACTGTTAAGCCTAGCAGTCCTAACGCCTAACATCTGGGTGTTTATTTGCCCAAGTGTGAAGTCCAAGGTAAGCCAAAATCCAGGGTGTATATACAGTGCATGATGATTGAGACACAAACATAAGATCAGAAAATCTCTCTTTTTGAGTAGTGTCACACTCTCAAAGACTTTTTCAAGACATCTTTGAATAGTGAAAACCCTGTTTACTGGGGAAACTAAAAGACAGCAGAATTCAATGTGCACCAACATTAAGAGGGTTAAACAGGTACAGTGGTAAATCACAAAGAGTAGATGATGTCTCTTGGAGCTCAGATATGAAACTTTCAAACTACTTAATGC